GGATGACACAGGATCTGCAATGGTGAATCTATGCTTCTTGGGAATTCCTTTGCTTATATCATGGGAATTCTGCCAGGTTGATTAAATCATCTGCAGCTCAGTGGAACAGAACAAAATTGCCAATAATGGGCATGAACCTACATCTATATTTGCTACGTATTTTCAATTTGATAATTTTCCTTGATATAAATAGAACATGTGTTAATAGTACCTGTCACTCCTTTATAGCTTTCTGCATAATAAGAAAGATCCACAGGAATAATAGGTGCCCTCTTGCATATTCATATGATAACCCTAAACTTTAGACACATAGTCAAAGAAAATCAGACCAAAAAGGAATGAAACTTCCAAATATGGGACAGATTCTGATTGGCCCAGAAGATTTGCATTATGAGAGGGACAGATCATAAATGGAGGACTTCATAAAAAGTGTAGCATTGAGATGCACTAAATATAATACATCTGTTTTAACTCCATATTTCCATTCCTTATTTCCTTTATATCTAAAACCAAATACTGATTTTATGTTGGCAAGTCAAAATGTCCAGCATCTGAATTAATAATCATACATTTACTGTTCTGCAGGCATGAGCATCATGCAACAAATTGCAGTTACACTTTTCTATTGGATTCTGCTCATTATTCTATCTATCTCCTTCGTGGACTTAGCATAACATTCTGCACAGCTTCTGTCAGCCGTCATTTCAACAGGCTACAAATATATTTATTAATGAGGCTTTTTTTTTTCCTAACTGCATTGGTTAGAAGAGAGAGATAGACCATATTTAATCACTGGATTTTCATCTGTTACATATTCAAATATAATGCTGGTAGGCAAGAAATTGAAGTGTATCACTGAAAAATGAACAATGAAATGTAAAAAGTGTCCACATTAGACTGACTCTGCTCCTGCCATGTCAATGGATGTCTTATAGTTAAATTCAATTAGAGCACTTTCTTCATTGTAGAATGCTTTTGGAAATTCCACTAAAATTGTATTCAAGAATTTTTGCAAAATAGGTAGTGTATTTGTAATACCTGGTGGTATAGTACAACAGTGAACTGCTCAGCTAATGTATGACTGGAATTTTGTATTTGCATAAGTGACTTGAAGAACAGAATGACCCCCTCTAACCTGGTGGACTGTCCATGATTTATACTAATTTAAATATAATTATAATTGTAACAGATGTTTTGTTTTAAATTAGATTGGTCTCTGTGGTTGTCTACCTTCTATAATTAGGACTTGTCTAACTCTGTACATTGGACACCATCTGCAAGGATTTAGTGCTAACTGTACGTACTGTGCATCCAGTGCTTTTCAGCATAGGGCGAATTCAATATATTAAATCTTATTCTCAGGATGAATAATACCATCCTTTTGTTTTAAAACATGTCAATTTCTCTTAAGCTATCACTCTTTAATATTTAATCAGCACAGATAAATGCATTTCATTTGGCCTTAACTATGTGTCACAATAAGATAAGAGGCAGGAAAGCTAATAAAATAAATTGGTTAAGTTATCCAGAAGATAATGCTTCAGAATTTAGAATATGTTACTATATTTTTCAAAATGGATGTTGATTTAGCCTGTGGCTCTCTGAAAGACACAATTTTTGTGAAGGAAAGCTAATAGACAGCTTTAGTGGCTCGAAGAATTGGTGATTTTCCCTCAATTGTTCCCCTCAGTTGCTGTTTGTTTTGTTTATTACAGGATACTGTTCTGAAGACAATCATGTGTAAGGGTTACATCTGGTGTGCGTTCAAAAACTAGTGGCGCAAAATGCTGAGGTGGGCTGGGGTGAACTGCACTCCAAGAGCAGGCTTGGGATAACAAATTGCCTTTGCATGAGGGTCCTGGCATATAGAATCACTCACAAAGGTGGGTTGTCGAGGCAGAAGAGGTGAAACAAGGGTGATCACAGGCACTGGAAATTATTATTCCCCCACCTTGTTTCTTCCACCTTCGTTTTTCTGTCTTCAAGTCATTTAGTGACCTGAGGTGAGACGGACAGGAATTGACAGCGCTCATGCTGCTGCTGGCAGCAGAGTCGCTGCAGTTGCTTCCTGGACATGAAAGGAGGGGAAAAAAGAAGAAAGAAACCCAATTGTTGTTCTCTAAACATAACATACATAAAGAGAATAGGTTTGATTTAGCTGAAAGCAACCCCTTTTTCCTGTAGAAATTATTTCCCCCTCCACTGCAGTTCAGGAAAAGGGAGAGATGATTTTTTGTCTCTCCCTCTCCCTCTCCTTGCCCGCACAAAGAAAACGTGGGTTGATACCATTTTTATTGTTCTGCTGGGGTGGGTTTCAGACCTTGCATTAGCATATTGAATGTCTAATTGAATTCGGGGGCTGTGTTAATCATCTTGTTTTGTTTAGGGGCGGTTGGTGAAAGGTGCCAACAAATGATCGCTTTGGCTTGGGGTTAGCGTGGTGCTGCCACCCCAAGAAAAAGAGATCGAGAAGGGGGAGGGAGCTAGGGAAAGGCGAGTTGACTGAGTGATGTCTGGAGGGCAAACTCGTGTGTCTCTTTGGTGATGTTGTGTGCTGCTGTACTGAAATCCACCCCTCTGCTGGAGCTAAGGCAAGAGTTGGAGGCATCTGATGCTGCCGTTTCCAGGGTGAAATTTCTAAGGCTGATCACTAAAAACAACAACCAAAAAAAATAATCCAAAAATCCTCAGCAAAAATAGCCATCAGAACAGAAGATCTGGCATCTCCCAGTCTAACTGGCATAACCCAGATAGGCGTTTGAGAACCATCTGCCT